ATAGCGAGCACTTGGATGGAAATAATTGGTCGGTTTTGGCAGAGAATGTGTTTAAACAGTATTTTAAGGATAATATGAAAAATAAGATAACTTTTATGAATACTAGACTGCATTGTAATGATACTCGCAATCAATGGCTTAGGGATGTGCCGGCTATTAAATCTCGTATTGTAACGTATGATATGAAGTTAAATTTAAAAGGAAATTATGACTCATAGAAAGTATCGGGATGTTTTGAAAACAAAAATTAACACATTAAATTAATATAATTTTAACTTTTCAAATTAAAAATAAAAATTTAATTATTAAAGTTGTGTTAAAATTTATTAATTAAAAGCCATGTTTATTCATAGTGTGTGTCGTAATTAAAGTTATTATACATTTATTAGTAATTAAGTAGCATGTCGCATGTCAAGTAGCATGTTTAACAAATATAATTATGCTTATAAAATTGCTTTGATGAATTACTGATATACTGTAGGTAGATTGACTTGAATTTATTAACATAGACTTGTTTGAATTGAAATAATATTTTAATTGTAAAGTAATTCGGAATTTAAATATAAATTAAAATTTTTAAAAAATTAATAACATTAAAAGTTAACAATATTAACAGCTTATATTTAGTCGATAATGTCGTAAACTTCTAGATATGCATGCTCAGTAAAATTTGGAATAATATTTTCAGCACTATAACCAGGCACACTATAATAAGGTGTACTATATCTAGAACTTTCGTAGGTGTAGTCAATGTTTATATAATTGTCATTTATCCTACAATCGTCGTAAGGGTTTTGTGTATTTTCACTATTAATCCGTTTTAATCGCTTAATAATGTATATAAATATAACGATTAGTATAAGTATTGCTATAATTAAGCCGCAAATGATTGACACAATAAACGTGAGCGACAGTGTAAACGTGGGTTCAATTGGTCCGGGAGTTGTGTGACTGTGGCCGTCCGTATGATCAGGCGATCGTATGTACGACATGACAGACTCGCATATATCGGCACTGGATGTGCGGTCACCTAAACTGCTAATATGACCCGAGTGGACAGTATGGTTGTCGACCCACTCGTAGACGCGGACATAATCGATGATAATCGCCGAACACTTCCATGACATGTAATCACTCTCCGTGAGTGTCATTCCCGGGAACATAAAATCGGCATCCCCGCCCACACCTAACGATAAGGTAAACTTAAATGCTTTGTCAAACGGCTGTCCTTTTTTGGTGTAATCAGTGGTTAACGTCTTATTGATATCAAAATCTCCTGAATATTTATTGTCATCGAAAAACCACTGAATATGTGTTTCATTCCACTCGACGGCATAGGTATGAAAGTTCTGCAGGTTTACGGATACGGCGTTGTATTTAGCGCCGGTGTACGGGACGCTTCCATTTTGGCTTAACCCGTAATGGGCACCGGCATACAGGCTAGAGTCCTGGATATTTGTCATAACATCTATCTGGCCATCGAGTGGCCAATTAGTCTATCCGGCAGCGGGAATCATAATAAAGACCGGTCTCAACATTTTCCCGTTGGGAAGGGCGGCCCTAATCTCAAACCGGCCGTAAGTCCAACCCTTTTTTGACGTAATCGTCCCTGAACTAAACTTCTTATTATTGAACAAAATGTAAGGATTGGCCTCAAGAGCGGCTGTAATGGCTAAACATCCGTGCGTTGACTGTAGATTTTTGGGATGATCCAGGTTACAGTGCAATTGGTGCATCCAATTGCCTGACATTTGAGTAAGAAATAACATAATAAGTTCCTTATAGTGATAATGTATAATAATTATATTAAAATGAATTGTGCTAACTTAATTAAGACTTTAAAATTAACACTTAAAAAGAAATTTAAATAAAATTGGTATTGCTAAATAAGCATATGTTTCTGACTAATCAGTCCAGTAATGATCCAGGTACTAACCTCTGCAATTGGTTTTAACAATTTCGTTGTCGACATCCCATTTGTCCCGATCTAAGGACTGTCCCTCGAACTCATCCCTCCAAACAATATTTAATTGTTTCTCACAAGTAATCATTGAATACAAGAATATATAGACAGTGATTATATTAGATAACATTGTTAAGTTAGTCATACAATTTTGATTTTAAAATAATTTATGCTTTACTTTATTTATTACTAGAATTATAATAAAGTATGTCATGTTAACCAAATATGTTAGATACCTATATATGGATATAAAAATTATGCAACATAATAGATATGAGATTTATAATTGACTTTTTATTCTCGTTACAGGATGTTAATAATTATAAATATAAATATATTAAAACAAATTTTATGTAGAGCAATTTTTATTTATTTACGAAACCTCTTATTATTTTCAGCACATATCAACCCAGATAGAGTAAACATTTACCAGTATAATTACATATGAATTTGATTTAAAATTATAACTTAAAAATTTTAATTAACCATAAAAATTAGCGAGTCATTTCATTATTATTTAATATACTATTGTATGTATTAATTAAAACACATTTAAAAATTACATTAGTTAAAATTTATTTAAGAATTCTGTGTTGCCTACACTTAAACATGATAAAGGTGTATTTATAAATGATTTGACATTTATAAATTTATTATTTTATTTATGGGTATTTAATTAATTTCGACTTTTTAAATAAAATTTAAAAGATATCTCTTTTATTTAAAGCAACTCTCATAAATGATTTACATTTTACAATCTTAATATTTATTAGAATTTAAAATTCAAGAATAATATAGAATCCGTGTTTATTTTAGATAGAAATAGAATTTTGAATATTTTTAATCACCAAATTAGTAGACTTAAAAAGATTTTATGTAATTAGTATAACAATTCATTTGCAATTTGAATCAAAATATAGCCAAAAAAGCTAAGCGTAAACGTGACCCCAGCTATGGTTATGTACTCCAATATCTGCTTGTTAATATAATAAATACAATTATATACTACAGTATGAACTTCATAGTATGATGTATAAATCCTCAATTAAAGTGTACTTTATCAATTTAAACTAAACTACTT